AAAGGTAGAAAGGGGAAACGTAGTTTTTATTATTATTTTTTTCCAATAATTAATTGTATCATCAGAGCTGGTATTTTGGCTTTATATATTATCAGACACTAGCACTTACTTTCTGGAAATCATACTCAAATGGAGTTAATGAGGTTTTTGACGAGCGAGTGACAGAGATCTGTGCTTTGTCCATCATTAGAATGGCCGCATCTGAGGCAGTAAATTAATAGCATCACGTTTCCACCAGTTTGCAGGTTATAAAGTTTATTGTAGCTATGGGTGCTCAGTTTCTCTTGTTGTTAATACATTTGGCCAAAATCTCACGATATAAAAGACGAAAAGCTATAAAACCCACAAACCGACATAACAATGACCAATAGCACTGATTTAAAATAATAACGAAATATAAGAGATAAGGACGTTTTTGATAATTTTCCACAGCACGCCCGACACTAGTGGTTGGGAAACACTGTTTTAACATTAATTAATATTTAAGTCAGTGATTCATCTGCGTACCACTAAAGGGAGCCCGTACCACACTTTGAGAATCAGTGATGTAGAGTATTTTAAGTGAGAGATGGACTGAGGGAGTGTGATCACCTGCATCTGATACAACATTCATTCATCAGCTCAATCTCATATTCACAATAAAATATTAGTTTGAATGTCCGCTGAGGAAAGCGATATCTTTGTCATACTATCCTTTCATGTGTTAAGGGTGATTTCCGATGACAGCGCTGATCAGTGTTGTTAACACCGTCTTACAAGCTGTTATTAAAAGTAAAACTGACTTATTTGTTTACAACCCTGTTTCAGTCTCTTTTAATATAAAAGTCTTTACTGCTGACTCACTCATAAAGACATTCTCTTGTCGCCATCTAATGGTGGAACAATGTAACTAAAATCAGCATTACACACACGCGAACACACACACACGCAGTTTCCCAATACGAAATACTACTAGCCTATTAAATACTAAGATTATTTATATAAAATATAATTTATTGAATAATAATATTTAATAAGCAACAACAATAGCCATCATAAGAGTTGCTTGGCAATGCTGTCCAAAGTACAAAACCAGCACTCTGATATAGCCTACAGCATTAATATAAAATATAACGTAATGAGACTTTGCCCTCAGCCAAAATGGTTTGCTCTGGAGCAAATAATAGATTAATGAGACCTAAGACTACCCGTTAGATTTACCCAAAAAAATTATATCTCATGTTTAACCACTATAGAGAAATCAGAGCCAGCGACAAACTCCAGAAGAACTGGTCGAGGTGAGGCTGCTCTCGGCGGGTTCATGAGCGCTGAACGGCCGCTAACGCTCTGCAGCTCACATCTCCGAAAACGTCGAAGCAGATTTTCAAATAGATTTTCAAAAAGACTTTACTAACAATCCATGTATATTAAGTCTAAACAAGTACATTCTCATCTAAAAGAAAAACTCTTAAAACTACATTCCGTGACACAAAAACAGTATTATTTATAAAATTATAGTGGATTGGACATCTGCCATGACACTCGCTGTGAGAAATGCCGCAAGCGGAGTGATACAAATGGTGTAACGGTTGGAGTTCCGATATCACTTGAATATCGCACTCTTCTCAGCCAATCAGATTCGAGAACCAGAAAGAACCGTTGCATATATATATATATATTTATAGAACAGTTATTTCTGGTCCTCGAATCTGATTGGCTGAGAGGAGTGCGATATTCAAGTGATATCGGAACTCCAACCTCGTGCCTACTATCTCACGTGTGATATTGCTTATATATATCTCACAATTTTGACTTTTTTCTTCTCGGAATTACGAGTTTATATCTCACAATTCTGATTTTATAATATATTGCAGATCTGAATTTACACCTTGCAATTCTGAAAAAAGTCAGAATTGTGAGACAAAAAGTCATAATTACTTTTTTATTCTGTGGCAGTTACATTTATTTATTTATTTATTTTCCAGTGATGAGAATAAGCTTCTATACTTTTAAGAACTGTTCACTGAAAGGTTCTTGAGAAACCAAAAATGGTTCTTCCATTGCATCACTATGAAACCCTCCTTTTGGAACCCATTATTTTTAAAAGTATAGTCTAAAATATCATAAACCTATTTCATTTACGTGAAAAACAAATGTCATGACATTCTCTTTCATCTGTAGTTCCTGTAATCCTTGACCCCAACACCGCTCACCCATGCCTGCATCTCTCTGACAATCTGAGCGATGTGTGGTTTGGTCAGTGGAGTCGACAGGCCTTGGGTTACACAAACAAATGTGAGGGCTACTCGAGCGTCCTGGGCTCTGAGGGCTTCAGCTCTGGGACTCACTACTGGGACGTCGAGGTCGGGGACAACACCACCTGGGTCTTAGGAGTGATTTCAGAGTCTGCCATCCAGACTCGAGACAATCTGTCCAGTTCTGGTCTGTGGCGCCTTGGCTTTCACAATGGTACATATGGACAAGGCCTTTCAGGAGATTTTCTCATGCCGCTTGCAGTGAAACAGAAGGTCCAACGCATCAGAGTCCAGCTGGACTGGGACGGAGGGCAAGTGTCATTCTTCAATCCTCTCACTGACACTCACCTCCACACCTTCAAGCACACCTTTAACGAGAGAGTGTTTCCGTACTTCTGTAATGTGTGTCCGTCTCAAGCTCTGCGGATCTTGCCGGTGGAAATGGCTCCAGCAGGACTGGAGGTGCAGAGATTATCTGCATTAACCAGCAAAATAGAGAGCAAGTAGAGTTGCAGAAGTAAAAATCCTGTTCATTTTCTACACAGAGAAAAAAAAATAGAAATTCCTGTGGAGAAAAGGAATGGAAAAAATTCTGACCAGAACCAAAATATAAAAATATTGGAAAATAACTAATTGAATCTTTTCAATGAGTCTTCTAATTTAATCTTTTGCAAAGCTTATATATATATATATATATATATATATATATATATATT